AAAGAGATATTGGAATAAATCTATTGTAACTGTGTACTGCTGTGTAAATCAAGCCAAATGTTACTGAAAGAAAAAATATGAGAAGGAAAAGTATGAAATTGCAGTCTTTTCCTGAAGACTAGTGTTTTTTTCAAAAACAACAACCTTTTCTGGGTTCCCAAACCTTTAGCATACACTGTACCCTGGCTTTCACTTTAACATTAATATTATTTGGCTTCAGAAACATTTTTCCAGGCAGAACGTTTGCTGTGAAGACAGGTACATGTGTTTTGATTTAACTAGTTTAAATGGGTTTTAAAAATATAATAAAAGAAAGCTATAAATATTTCAAATACCAAGAGATGGAGTGAGGGAAACAGGAAAATCTTTTCCTTGCAGAATAACTTATAGTGCAAGGAAGTCATACAGTTTCAACTTTGGCTTCCATAAGTCCTGTTATACAGTTGCTTTCTTCACATCATGCTTGAATTTAAATGCGAAAAAAATGTCATAAGCCTTTTTTGTCCTTTTCTAAGCTAATTTTATTCAAGTTTCATTGCTTATGCTTAAAGGGAAAAAAGGAGCTTTCTTTGGGATATGTTCAATAAGCTCCTTCTCTTACTCTGAATGCCTCTGTGACATTAGGAAGTGAGAAGGAAGTTTTCTGAAATTTGGCCGTGTGCCAAAGGGCCATTTTTACATACTTTTAACCTTTCTAATTATTTTTTTGTTTTTGCTATTCCTATTTGAATTTCCATAGAGATATTTGCCTAACTTCAGAGAATAATCTCTTGATTTAAGCAACATGCTTCACAAGTATATAACATATACATATGGAAATTGACTATAAGACATTCCTACATTTGACAGTGAAGGATGCAGTATTTTTAAAGTTTAAATAGAATTGTTTTGCTGGATATTTTTGCAAGAAAACCCATCAGATAACAGCAGTGACCATGTGACAGTCACCATTAAATGGTACTTTTTGCTAACATTTATTGCAGAGTGATACAGATCCAAAAAAATTGCAGTGTTTTCTTGTACTTAGAAAAGGAAATGACATTGGCAGTTATTCTGAGACAGTACTATGTGGCAATCAGGGCTGGACTAAAAACAGGAAAAATATCCCCAAAATGTTCCCATTTCACTTCCAATTTTTCTGTTGAATTGTTGCCTTTGTCACAATTTTACCAGCATTATTTATAAGTCTTATTTTATAGGTCAAAACAGATTACTAAGCCACAGAGCAACATTTTGCCCTTGGTTTCACCCACACAACACAGTTAGAAGTCAATAGGGTAGCAAAGGTGTGAGTGAAATATTTGTTTCATAGATGCCTCTACCACATCCTTAGCAATTGGTGTTGAATGGAGGTATTGCTAGAAGAACCATAACCATTCTCCAACATGATCACATATTAAGTGCAATTATCAGTAGTACATTCAGTTTGAACATTTGTAAAAGAAAGGAGCCTCCTGAAGTTAAAGGTGTCAAGAAAATGAGGAATTACAAACAGTAGATTTTTCTCACAAAGAGGCTATTTGAAATCTGGGCATAGAAATAATATGAGTAGGAGAGATCTATGTGCATCTGATGATGCCATCTACTACAATACTCACTGCACTGTTTTCCAGGGTTGTGGGAAGGAAGTCAAAGGTGTGACTGTAGACTAAATATACCCAGTAAACATGACCTTAATGTTAGGGATGTATAGATACTGCCAAAGTGGGGTTTTTTGAGTTTTTACTTAACTTAATACCAAGAAACTGTATCAAGTTCATTAGATGGAGTTTTATGGAATGTGTGTTTTTCCATGTAGGACCTCCAGGGAACAGCTTCAAAAATAGATTCACAAAATACCAAAGTCCTCACCTTCATCACCTACATTGGTTGTGGAATATCTGCCATATTTTCAGCTGCAACTCTTCTGACATACATTGCTTTCGAGTAAGTATTTATGCTTTCAAGAATTTGTGCATGCTAGAACTATTCTGAATGAAATGGAAGAGGAAATGAAATGAAGATTTGTGAACTATGCAGCAGTTTCAAGAACAATCCCACTGAAATGACAGGATGTTTAGGAGATTTTGGTATAATTTTTGGGAAAGTGAAAAGAGGAATTATAATGACGTTGTTTTAGCTGCCAGCCACACAATAATGGTAACAGGACAGGATGGCTTGCCAGAGAATAGATTTTACACACAAGTACTTCAATTACTGCAAGCTGTCTATAGTATAACATTGTGGTCGAAAGAGAGTATAATTTGCTGGTGAGGTCCTCAATACACACAGTGTATTGTGCACTAGTTGGAAGGAAATATATTTGATTTTGAAGCTGCTCAGACTTTTTCAAACAACAGAGAATGATGCTATGTCCTACTAAACTAATTAAAGGGTTTTTTAAAAATAAACAGAAGTAAGTTCTTGTTTGGTACTTCATTGTTTCCTTTAATTTGTATCTGATATTCAATGAAATATGAATATCAGCTAGAAGTCTGATGTCTTGTTCTTAAATTTATTCAAAAAGGTTTTAATAATTAATTATATGCCTAGAATAAGTGCAGTAAGATTATTTGTTAATGACCACCTGCCGCCACTCAGGAATGGATGTGGATTGTCCCCTAACAAATTAAAAGAGGACTTCAACAATAGTCTGTTAATGTACATGCCACCATGCTGTATTGCCATATCAGCTTGTTGCCAATAAGAGACCTTTGTTCCTTATCCTTATTTCTTTTATAAATTACTAACCACAGCTGTTGCAAATTATATGTCTGTGTGTTTGTCTCTCTAGGAAGCTACGAAGAGATTATCCCTCTAAAATCTTAATGAATTTGAGCACAGCCCTGCTCTTTCTTAATCTGTCCTTCTTGCTTGATGGTTGGATTGCATCATTCAACATAGATGGTCTGTGCATTGCCATCGCTGCCCTCCTGCATTTTTTCCTTCTGGCCACATTTACATGGATGGGACTGGAAGCTGTTCACATGTACATTGCTCTAGTAAAAGTATTCAACACCTACATTCGGCGATACATACTGAAATTTTGCATCATTGGCTGGGGTAAGTTCAAAAGGATATATTTCGTATAGTATATAGGTACTAAATTATTATTGTGTGTTATTTGTGCCATCAGAAGTGCAGTGATCAAACTCATAGGCTGCATCCAAATGAGCACAGTTGTGTGGTATGTAGCACTGTAGACACATCTGCAGCACCACATACTGCACATTCAGCTGTTCAGTGTGCTGCAAAGTAGCAGCATGGGAGGTTTTTTTTGACCCTTGGATATCCAGAGGTCAAATAAACCCATGCAAAAAAAAAAAAAAAGGAGGAGAGGGGAA